GCTGACACTTTGATTTTTAGACTTCTGCCTCTAGAACTTGTAGGAATAAGTTTGCTGTGAGGCCAGCCGATTAGTTGCACTTTAATACTGTGGAAACTATTCAAAACCAAAGGAAAATGAAATCTAAGCAGGCAGTTACATTTGCCAAAGTTTACTTGAGAAAAAATGGCTACCCCTCCTCTTGCCCACCTTCTGGCGTCCACGCCTAGAAGACTGCGGGCCCTTTACCCCATTGTGGTATACAAGGCTATGGTCTGATCTTACAAGAAAAGAGTGAAGAGGCGGCATTTCCTTTGACATTGCAATACTGTGACTACAGTTTGGTAGTCCCTTACCTCCAGTGACATCCACCCCTATGTCGTGGACATAGGCAGAGCAGCAGTGAACTCTCAGTGAGCTAAAAGAGCAGCTTTATGGTGTAGACCATACCCTTCTCTTTTACTGGACTCTGTAAATTTCATAACAGCTCCAATCACACTCTATGAGCTCTTTTCCATATGCACAGACGTGATTCCTTCAAGTCAAAACCAATAATGATGAAGAGTAAGCAACCAGAATTGATTTCCTAACCAGGCATTGGAGTGCATGCTTGTAATTCCAGCACTTGAAAAGCAGAGACAGGAGGATCGGGAATTCAAGCTTATCCTCAACTACATAGTGAGACAGAAGCCCTCCCCACCCCATCCCCTCTCTCTTACACACACACACATACACACACACACACACACACACAGAGAGAGAGAGAGAGAGAGAGAGAGAGAGAGAGAGAGAGAGAGAGAGAGCAAAATAAATCTCAAACCTCACTTTTCTGTTTCTGCTTATAGATTTTTTTCACTCATTGGGAATAAACCTACCAAAAATATTTACTAAGAATAAATCAGGGGCTCCAAAAATGGCTCAGTGGTTAAGAGCACTGATTGCTCTGCTCTTCCAAAGGACCCAGGTTTAATTCCCAGCACCCACATGATGGAACCATCTGTAACTCCACTCCCAGGGGAACTGACCACCTCTTCTAAACTTCTTGGGCACACACATGTGGTGCACAAATAGACATGTAGGCAAAACACCTACACACACAAAAAAAATTAAAAAATAAAAATTAAATGAAGAAATTAAATAAATAAATAAAGTTCAAACTATGACATTGAACATCCTGAGTCAGGGTAGAAAACTGGTAATGAACGAGCCGGTGTGTGTAACACAAGCTCATATTTATTGAATGTATTCAGGCACTGGCTTTGACAAAGCATTTAAAATACACTTACCATATATCGGTTCACTACATCCCCAGGGCAGTCCTATGAGGCCAGAGTGCTCATTCCCTGAGGCAACAGAGTGTGAGGGGGTTAAGTCATGTAAGCAAGGTCAGTTCAGCCAGGGTCACTATCATGGGGTTTCAGCCGCTCACCCACTCACTGTTCATGTTTCTTGTCGTTTCCCAACTCTGTGTTTTGTTTTGGTGTTACTCGAACCACCTCAGCTTTGTGAATGGTGAAGGGAAGGGGAACAGACCGAGAAGTCAGAATTCATCCAGCTGTTCATTCAACAAACAACTTCAGCTTCTAGTTGGGAGGGACCTGTGTAGAAACTCAACAAGACACGCATAAGTTAAGAAATTGAAACACCAAGCCGCCAAATGGCCCCAGTGATGATGCCCTACAGATGGCGTCAGTGGTATCGGGCAACGCTGGTGTGTTGATAAGGGTGGGAGTGGAGGATGATGGAGAGGTGGGGTGTGAAGATGTAAGAGCTGAGGCTCTCTGAGTGGCTCTGGCAACTTTCAGGAGATGAAAAGGGTAAGATGGATCTGACCGTTTGCTAAGGTGTCATCCCCTGTGCCCTGGGAACGGCCTCTGCTTGTTCTCTTGCTCAGCAATGTGAGTCTCATGTTGTTCGCCAGCCAAGAACACACAGCGATGTGAATCAGATGAACCGGGAAGGAACTGACAAGTATCTTCGGGGCTTTTATTTTTGGCTTCTGATGAATATGTATTTTAGCAATACTAAAATTGCTTGCAGGAATACGGAACAGCCCCTCTGCATAGGAACTTCTCAGAGAACCTCCCTTAAACAGCAGGAGACTTAGCTTAGGAACGTCCTCGGTAAAAATGTGATCTGGCTGATGGCCCTGTCCCATTTCCCCCACCCTCACTTCCTAAGAAAAGAAGCAAAAACTTCAAAAGACCTGGATAAGAAACAAAAACGTCAATGAAGTGAGCTAAAAATCAAAAGGAAGATTGGCAAGAAAAAGAGGGATTAGACGTGACAGATACTGGGCTTCATCTGAACCGTAACCAAGATTATGCTGGCTTCTCCTTCTATATCTTCAGTCATTTCAGCAACTTTTTTCCCTCAAGGAGTAAGAACAACTGATAATTCATTTCTTCTGTTCTTTCAAGAGATGAGATTTTGATGTTTCAGCAAGAGCTCCTGGGGGAGATGAATAGGACGAAGCTGGACAGACCAGAGCCATTAGCAGGAAATACACCCACTATGAGAAGGCACAAGGCTAAACCCTGCATGGTTTAGCTCCATTTCTTCATCAACAGATAAGATGGGAAGGCTTGAGGTGGAGCACAGGCCAGAGGAAGGCTGGAATTTGGACTTACATACTAAGCTACCATATGTTCAAGTTTCATTAGAATGTAGGAAGCAGAGACTTAGGTTAAAACTGTAAACAGCTGTGGGCAAAGGACCACGTGCCTATGCATCTACAACAGAAGACCTGAAAGAAATGTTCCAGAGGAACTGATTCTCAAGGCTTAAAACATTCGAAAATTCTGCTGAGGAATATAAGTTGTCTGTCGGCCCCTTGTGAGGACTGTCCCACCTAACTGGTTACCAGAGGCGGATAACTGTGAATGAAGGCTGCCTGAAATCCCTCCTGCAGTACTGATGCATTAAAGACCGATTCAACAATACTAAAGCTGAGGCTATCCTCTGATTTTGGGGAAACTGAATGAAATA